AATTATGACAAAGACTAATAAAATGCTTAATTTTTTTTGCTAAAAATCGTGCATCTCTTGAAGATATTGAAGATGTTCGATTTTTTTGAAACATTTGCCATAAAAAATTTATTGTATATATATATATATACAATATATTGAGTACAAATTTTATCTCTAAATACTTTTAATTAAAAAGAATATCAGGTTCCATGCAAGAAAATACTTTATTAGCATTTTCAATTTTTCAAAACTCAGTTTATTTTTACTAAAACACAATTTTTAATAAACTCAATTATTTTTCACACGGAATATAATTCTGAATTCACCGATTTTATAATTATATCCACATGATCGAACAAGATCCTATCTAGAGATTTTTTGTAGAGCAGTGATCGACAAAGATTTTTCAGGAAATTTGATTTGAACTGTGATTATATAATAAAAATATTTTTTTATATATTAGTGATTTTTTTATATTTTATTATATAGTAAAAAGGTTTTTTTTTATTTTTGATTATCCGTATGGGTATCAGTCTATCAAAATTTTTTTATTTAAAAATGTCTGCCTAATTTTTGTAAAAAATATCGTATTCAAAATTTTGAGAATATGCCATTAATTTGAAATTTATATAACTATTTTATGGAGTTTGCGTCAAACCTCGAAAAACTCTATAAAATTATAAAAAATAAAGAAAGAAAAGATATTATTAAGGACATAATTTTGAACATTTTCAGTATATTTAGATTAATTTAATAAATTCATAGATTATATAACAAATGTATTTAAATGACAGTATTTTATGCTATCAAGAATTTTAATTATTGACTGGGGGTTGAATTTCATATTCTAAGGCTTCTATGAAATTAAATAAAATAATTTTTAGATTAAATTCAGTAACATTAATTATTATTTTTAAAAAATTGATTTACTTAGTGACATCATTTTTGTTAAATTTCATTTCTATAATACATGTATAAATTGTTTCATTAGTCGTTTAAAATTATTTTAATAATTTTAAACAATTACTTGAATTTATTATTATTGGGTCTTTTGTGAATATAACGAAAGGTCAGTGAAATTTAATATAATTTAATGTCATTTCAAAATTATTGCAATTGCATAAATTGTGGAACACAATAATTGCAAAATATAGTAAAATCAATATTCAAATCTGATTTATCAAAAATGAAAAAGTCAGATTTAAATATTATTTTTTTGCAATGATTTGCCATATTGTGCAATTATTTCTGATAAATACTAAATTCTTTTTAGATTCTTCTTAGTATCTTAATTATTGAAATCGAAAAAAATATTATAAGGTCTTGTCTGTGAGTCAAAACAAAAAATAAGTAAAATTTAATAAATTTTAATCTCATTTCAAAATAAGTTGAGGAACACAATAATTGCACAATATGGCAAATAATTGCAAAAAATTAATATTTAAAACTGACTTTTTTATTCCTGACAAATGCTAAATTCTTTTAAGATTGAAGTTAGTATCTTTAATTATTAAAATAAAAAAAATACATGATTGTTCTTATAAAATTTAGGTACCGTTGACATTCACAGTTATATATATTTTTAGAACACGAAATGGGTTAAACAAATTAATTTAATTTATACTACCACAGATATTAAAAGAATATTTGAAAAACTTCAATTGAGAATCGTATTGACAAATTTTTAGCAAAAAAAAAATTAAAAATATTTGCAAATAAACTGTTGAACATTTTACCTAAAATCTCAATTCCTGTAAATTCCTATTAAGTTGAGCTATACGTTTAGGGAATTTCAAGCAATTTGCCTCAAGGCGAAATGCTTCTTATACAACCAGTTTCTTAAGGTTACCTTACATGTAAGTATACATCTTTTACCTAAAATTTACGTTTTTCTTCCCTGTTCTAATCATATGATACCACTACTTAACTACGCGTTGCGATCGATTTTTGGTACCTGACAAACCCTGTTTTTTTTTCTCGATTCGAATCTCCCTTCAGGATGATTAATGGTCTATTTACAATTCGGCCGAATTGTAGATCTCCGATAAACCGTGACGTTTTCAAAAATATTTTTATATTTTTACATCACTAATGGATCTATCCCGCTTCTGGGCCGAATAATAAATGATTGTTAGTTGTTAAAATCTTCGCTTTTAAAGTTAATATTAAAGGAAGGGTTTTGTAAGGGACTCACTGACAAATATAAAAATTTCGGATACTTAATTGATTTCATGGGTTCATTGAGTTTTTTAGCTGCACAAGATTGATTGAATTCAAAAATTTTTTATCCATTACCCAATTTATGAGAAACTTTGTAACGGAAATTTTTTGCTCCGCTTATGTTTATTCATGATGTCATTATTTATATTTAAGATTAAATTTTAATAACAATACAGGTAATAAATATTGTATTTCCAGTTAAAAATGTAACAAGAAGAATTTTAATCGCTTTTTGAACATGTTTTATAATAAACAATAATGCAATTTGCATAATTCTCTCTTTAACTTTAATAATGGCCAGTTTGAGGAAATTAACTTGGGTATAACAGCTTCATTATTTTCGATAATTATATATCGATTTTAATATAGAGGAGAATGGATATTGATAGAAAATTATAAATTATAATCGTAAATTATACAAGGTCGGGGGAAATTGAACCGTTATAATATTCCTTTCTCAAAATATAATGTTTATTAATCTGAAGCATATTGGTATTTTATATAAGCCTAATCTGAAATGAACTGAATGTTTTAAAACTTGGATAAACCAAGTCGTAATCATCTAAAAAAAATTTATTATATTTAATTATAACAATTAGAGTCAAACTGACCCTATGAGTTCATCTAGAAACAAGGCAAAAATACCGAAAATCAACATATAATTGTTTGACTGTAAAAAAACACATTTTGGCCTACAGTTCTAAAATTTAGAAATATCAATTTAATTACAATTTGTAGGTATATGCTGATATATGCTAAATTCCGCATATCAAAAGTTGTCAAAAAGCAATTATTTCAAAAATTCAAATATTTCATATAAATATGTAATATTATACTTGAATTTCTGGAAATATCAATGTATTTAAAATTCGGTTTAAAATTATGGGTAAGCAGTATATAATGCCAGCATTATTTTTACCAAGGTGCAATAAATTATAAATTTGACGCAAATTATTTTTTTAGTACAATTCATTAATTTTTACTGATAATTTATAGAAATATAAAATTTCTACTTAAATTCTGATAAACGTTAAATTATAAATTTGATAAAAATTAATTTTTTTAATATAATCCATTAATTTTGACTGGCAATTCATAGAAATATAAAATTAGTACTAAAATACTGATATATTTTAAATTTTGAGTAACCAGTATACAATGTCAGTATTAATTAAACAAAGAAAAAATCAAATCTGACAAAAATTCATTTTTTTAAATATAATACATTAAATTTGTCAGCTGACAATTTCTAGAAATATAAAATTTGTACTAGAATGCTAATATATGTTAAATTCTGCATAAGAAAAATGTAATGTCAGCATTATTATGAAAAAAAATTAATTAATTTTTGGCAATACTTAATTTTTTTAATATAATACAATAAATTTTAACAGCTGACCTTGCTTGAAATATCATTTTTTTATAATTTATATTTAAATGCTAATATACGTTAAATTCTGTATAAGTAAAATGTAATATTAGCATTATTATTGTCAAAGTCAATTAAAATTTGACTTTTTTTTTATTATAATACAATCATTTCGACAGCTGAAATTTCAATAATTATCAATAAATTTGCAATTTTACATTTGAATTCTGCTATATGTTAAATTTTGCATAAAAAACTGTAAAACCAGCATTGTCTTAGCCAAAAAGCTATTAAAATTTGATAAAAATGTTTGTTAATATAATACTTTAATTTTGGCAGCTAAAATTTTAAGAAATATCACAGTACTCACAATAATAAAATACATTTGTATTTAAATGCTGATATATGTTAAACTTCTGCATAAGCAAACTACAATATCAAAAAATTAAAATTTTAAATATAATATAATAATTTTGTTAAATTCTGCATTTAAATTTTGCTAAAATTCAATTAGGATGTGTAAATTTTTTTTCTATATAATGCATTAATTTTGAAAACAATTTTGGTAAAATAGCTACAAATATCATTGTCCTTGCAATTTGCATTTAAATACTGATATTATTCCAAGCAGCAAATAAAATTTATCAATAATAAATTAAATTAATTATTTTCTGGATAATTAATAGAAAGATTTTTATACAAATTTTGGAGAACCTTCTAGGATTTTATCATTAAGAAGCATCCATTAATCAGGGTTTTTGTATCCCTTTTTATGGTAATATTTAAAATAACCTACCCTTCTTCCGCACCCAAGATTACCTTTATTATTAGTACATAAAATTTTTGGATCTTTTTTTTCATTTTGAACTTTTTTAATGCAGTTAAAAAATAAATATATGTAATATCTTACTAGAACCGACCTCCGCCAAGTAACATATCGTAATTTTTGTCAAACCACTTCCCTCTCAACCCTGTAAGAGAGGCATTGATACTTAAGATTTTGGTTAGAATTTTTTGTACTAATTTTCCCTGGTTTCCCCTATTCTGTTGTTTTACAAAATATAGGTTACAAGGTTTTGATATGTCGATACTCCTTAACTTGCTGCCATGGGAACGATTTCTTCAGAAGACTCAAGCCGGATTAAGCCTCAGCAATTTATCACTCGTGCTTCGAAAATCTGTGTATTTTGTGCGATAAAATTATTATACGATCTTTAAATAAAATAAAAATCATAAAGTATTTATTACCGGACCATTAAAGTCGTTTGACGTTATTTATTTGCTACGAATGCTGTTATTAAAACAATGGAAATGATTAATTGATTTACGGCCAATATAAAATTGATTGGTGTTCTTATTAAAGCTAATTATGATAAGGATAAATATACACAACCTTGGGAGCAAACAATAACGCGTGTCCGATGTAAATTATGAATATTTAAAATGTCAAAACCGACGACGATCAAGGAAGCGCTAAAGCGCTGGGAAGAAAAGCACCCGGACGAGAAATTATCGACGGCCACGGAGGTGCTTTTGTGCTTCCAATGGCCTCCTATAGAAAAAATGGATAATAATCTATCAGTTCTTAGCAAATGCGAAAAACTAAGTCTCAGTACCAATATGATTGACAAAATCGCCGGTTTGAACTCCTTAAAAAACCTAAAAGTCTTATCTTTAGGCCGAAACTACATCAAAACTCTGGCCGGTCTCGAACCGTTGGCAGACACTTTGGAAGAACTTTGGCTAAGTTACAACTTGATTGATAAATTAAAAGGCATAGGAGTGCTAAAAAAATTACGTGTGTTTTACCTAAGTAATAATTTAGTTAAAGACTGGTCAGAATTTAATAAGTTGCTGGAATGTTCGACTTTACAAGATTTGGTAATGGTGGGAAATCCTTTGGTAGAAAGTATGGATGAAGAAACTTGGAGGCGAGAAGTGGGTAAACGATTGGTTGATTTAAAAAATTTAGATGGAATGACTGTTGTTCGTGCCGAAGAAGAACCACAGCAATAATAAATTAGTTAAATATTGTTACTGAAATAAATGTTATTGAAAATTTAACCAGTGTTTTTATGTGAATGCTCTTTTTACCCTAACCACAAGTAAGGTAGAAGTGATTAAAAAACTCGTTAATAATAACAATACACCTTATAAAATAATTAAATAACATATAAGGTAGACTAGATACAATTGTGCCTACCATACTGATTTTGACATAGGGTCCAAAAGGGAAGAGATGTAGTATGTTTGTTTGAACAAGTTTCCATTATTGCTTTTACATTAACATGATCTGTAGACAGCACTTCTTTTAACGAGTCAAAAGTAAGTTTTTTTTCTAGTAATTTGTTGAATTGTTTTCAAAAGTTGGAAATGACAAATTTTGGGGTTAGTTTGTAACATGTGTTACTTGTCTTTTTGAGTGAAGATTAAACAGATATTGAAAATTATTTTTTTAAGACAAAATGCGAAAGCATTTTAGTATATGTATAGAAAAATTCAATATAAAAAAAAGGTTTTGCAAAAATTTCTTATTGACTTTGTTTAAAAAATTATGTTTTATTATATATTGTTATGTTTGTCCATAAGCTTTTTTAATAAAAGTAGATTCTGACAATAAAAGTTATACTTAAAAATTATAAGCAAAAAACGTAAACTAAACAAAAGTGCTCAAAACCAGAAATCTAAAAACAAAATTGATTTCCAAAAAATTAATAAAGTCAAAAAATACTCTTTTTGCTGAATTGACAATGTGGCCGATTTAAGGCAATGACTGTTTACACATTTTTTGCCCTCTACTTTAATATAGTATATATAAAAAATGCTATACTTTTATTTTACTTATTTTTAACTTCCTGTAGGTTAAGTTAATGTAATGGGCTGAAAATCGAAAATCGAATTTTTTTTGCATATATACACGTTTCAGAGGTTTCTGAACTTATTGGCATACATCAGAAAAAAATGGATGTGTTTGTGTGTCCGCATTTTTGTTCACGCTTTTGGGCGCACAGATTAACCGATTTGAATGATTTAAAAAAACATTCGATTCCTATTGATAGGGAGATGTGCTGATTAGTTTTTGGCAAAGGCAGGTCAGGCCATTACGGATATACGGAGCAAAGAATGTAAAAAATGGAAATCGAGTTTTTGAGAGAACGGGGTATCCGATTTGAACGATCCAAAAAACATTCAATTTGTAATGATTGGGGAAAGTGGTGATTAGTTTTTTGCAAAGACAGGTCCAGCCATTTCGAAGATACGGAGATAAATGTACAAAAAATGGCAGTTTTTGAGTGAACTAAGCATCCGATTTGATTGATTCAAAAAACTTTTTGCTTGTGTTTCTTTTGGAAAACAAATGTCATTTTTTTCAGAAAAAAAATTGTTTTTGTATGTCGAAAGGAATTCAGATTTTAATTTTAATTCTGGTTAAAGTTCTTAAATATCCTTACGGTACGGAAAGTTCCAGCAATTTGCCTTAAGGCACGATTCCATACACCACTAGTTTAAATATTGATGCCCAATCTACTAGATGTTTTTTTAAAGTAGAGGGCAAAAAATGTGTAACCAGCCATTGCTTCAAATCGGGCAACACCACGTGATAAACAGCCACATTGTTAATTAAAGAAAAAGAGTATTTTTGACGTCGTTGATTTTTTGGAAATCAATTTTGTTGTTAGATTATTGGTTTTGAGCACTATTGTTTAGTTTACGTTTTTTGCTTATAATTTTTAAGTCTTTTATCCCGTAATCGATTTTCTACTCCAATTCGAATCTTACAATTGCACTAATGATATATAATCCTATGGACAAAATATATTACCGACTATTGCAATATTGTCATCTGACAGCACGTTAAAGCCAAATTGATTTATTAAATGTCTTTGTTACGAAGTATATGTAAATACCACGGCAGTTATGCAAATTTCGAAAACTATACCAGCACTATGCATAATAAATATAAAACTCATTGATATTATAATCAAATGATAAATGATAAATTGCAAATGGTAAATGAATTTCGAATCGGAACATTCATGAGGAAAGTCTTTGCCAACTCGGTAAAGGACATATTAAAATAAAATATTTAAAATGAAAATGTATTATATTCTCAAAATATTCTAAATAACTTGATATTTCAGAAAACATTTTGATTTTGTCAAAAATTCCAAGGTAAAGAGCAAATGATCACACAAAATTCAGGATAACAAGAATAATAACCAGTAACTAGTTAAATTGTGGAAGCAAAATCAATTTTATATTAATTATATGGTAAATAGTTAAAAAAATCAATAAATTAACAAAATTAAAATTTTTGATCTAAAAAACTAATTTTACATAAATATTTGATTTTACTTTTTCAATTTTTTTTTAAATTCTAAAACAAAAGGAAGCACCAGAGAAAAAAAACTACCGAAAAAATAAATTCAAGCATCCGATGAGAGATGAAATAAAAATATTCTTTTGGGATAAAAAACCGGTTATAATTTTTATAATTTCGAATTCAAATCATATAAATGAAAGACGATGCATCGATAATAGTCGAAGGGGCACATATACGTGTTTTTTGTGTTATTTTATTGGGTTTTGTTATAAAAATTCCTTCACATCTTAATAGACAAGGAGTTGGTAGTAATAATATACAGAAATTTCATTTTTTAAGTTAAATTATGAAATGGTATTGAGTAATTTTGGTGTTTCAGGATAAATTATCAAGATAAATCGTTTGCAATCAAAATCTAGCAGTATACAACTTGGAATATTTTACTAGTAATATATTTGTCAATATGTGAATTTTGGACCTTACTCGAGTTTTTTTTGAATTTCTTGAAATTTTTCCCCAAGTTACTATGTTTTATATACATAAGTAAAAGCTAGATAAAATTTACTAAAATGTAGTATAAACTGTTATATATACTTGGATATTAAAATTTTGAGTAATTCATAGTTAAAATGAGAACTTTAGAATTTTGATTATTTGAGAATATGTGAATTCATAGTTAAAATGATAACTTTAAAATTTTTATGATTTGAGAATATGTGAATTTTGGACATTTTTTAAAATATCTTGAATTATTTTTTTCAAACTATATTGTTTTATATACATGAGTGAAAACTAGATACAAAATATTTTAGTTTTTTGATGATTTGAGAATATGTGAATTTTGGACATTTTTTACATTTTTAAATTTAAAAATAAAAATTTAAATATCTTAAAAAAAATTCGCAAGCTACTATGTTTTATATATATTAGTAAAAACTAGATAAAATTCACTAAAATCTAATAAAAACTGTTATATACACTTGGATATTAAAATTTTGAGTAATTCATAGTTAAAATGCGGTTTCAATATTTTGATAATTAGCTATATCTGGCTTTCAACATTCTTTACTTTTCTTTAAATAACTTATATTTTTTATCCCGGACTTTATAATTTTTTATAATAGTGAAAACTTGATAAAATTTACTAAAATTTTGTTAAAACTGTTATATACATTTGTGTATCGAATATTTAAATAAAACATGTTGGAATACTTTATATGTGATATATTTAGCAATATATGAAGTAAAAACTAGATAAAATTTACCAAAATCTAGTAAAAACTGTTATATACACTTATATTGGAATTTTGAACAATTCGTAGTTAAAATGCAAACTTTAGTATTTTGATATCTGGCGTTATATGGATTCAGACCATTGTCCTCTTTGCTTCAAATAACTTTTAAATTTTATTTCGGGCATTAAATTTTTTTACATTAGCAAAAACTAAATGAATCACACCAAAATATAGTTTAAACTCTTATATATACTTGGATACTAAAATTTCGAATAAATTCCCTCCAACATGGACTTACAATAATAATTCATCTACTCAAGGCCATCGATCGCTCTCGGGCAAAACCTCGGCAAGCACAATAATGGTGTAATAGTTCATCAACTATGTTATTGATTGAAACCAGGTGATCAATCTTGATCACACAATCATACTATACAATACTTGTATTTTGTACTTTGTGTTGGATAAAATAGATAGATAGATCGAGAACTCTTTGCGAAACCCCGCAATGAATTCTTACAACTTACAACTGACCCAGAGGAATGGGGGATAAAAGACTAATCTGCATATGGACAAAGATATTACTATTATTATTGTTATTATTATTATTAAGGTTGTAGTTGTTGTATGGGAGACTGATTAGAAAATATAGAAATACATTTATAATACGACTTGTGCAAGATGTACGTTATTAGTAGTGTTCGAGGTATCTTTTTGCTAGGAAATGTAATAAATGAGCAACGCATGCTCAAGAGTAAGTTATAAAAATCACAAAAAACTGAAAAAAAATTTTTTGAATATCTTTATGTTTCAAAGCTTCCTGAACACTTTGGCATACCTTAGAAAAAAATGGATGTGTGTATGTATGTGTGGATGCAAATTTTTCGTCCACGATTTCGAGAGAACAGATCAATTTCTACTGAGAGGAAGACGTGCTGATTAGTTTATGGCAAAGGCAGGTCTGTCCGTTTTGGAGATCAAGCATGAAGTTAAACATAGTTAGTTTTTCAAACTTACTCAAAGATCAATTAAGTACTTACCCAAAACATATGCCATTTACCAAAAAAGTTTGTAGAAAGTTCTGTACTTACTTACCTCAGAAAATCTATTTCATCTTTTTCTTTAAGTATCAAAAATTTGCAGTTAAGTAAAAATATTTCATAATAATTTTATTAATATCTTTTCCGTTACTTTCAATATCGCATAATTATTTAGTATTAGCTGTGAAAGAATCGAATAATTTTATATGTACAGGAAATGGACAGTTAATTGGCTTGTGAAAAATGTTGTAAATTATACGAAAAAAAAGTTGTTTTGATGATTGTAAAGAAATAACTATCAATTTAACAGAACTGTCGAAATATGAATGCTTTTTTATGCATTAATTACGGAAAATTTATATACATTTAATTAACGAAATAAAAGTACTGTGTTGTGGTGCAAAAAATGGTGTAAAG